CAGATGGAATGGAAAGAGAGATGAATTTACAGTGAGAATACTAGGGTTCTATTTCATACAGAAAGAACTGTACTGTCAGTGATGTAATATGCATTGGTGTGTACATCAAATTTCAGTCACACCCTATCTCCATTTTCAGAAGGTTTCACCTGAGAAAAATATAGAAAGTTGGTAGCTTATATCATATTGCAGCTCCATCCAGATCCAATCTAGGGAACAGGAAAGCTACCCTCTGGGTGCCAGCTACAGACTGGGGTTTCATCAACCCTGGGACAATGAAGAAAATGTAGAGCTTCTAGTCTGCCCTGGGGTTTTGACTCTGTGATGAAATCACTTTGTTTCTACCATTTACTAAAATCAGAATAGCGCCCCAGATATCCTTGATTACATTTAAGATTAAATACTTTGAAGATATTTAATGACACTCTGTTTTGACTCATAGCTTCTTTTAGCCCCTTTGGTAATGAGGACTCTGAATCTGGGAAGCTATTGTAGTTCAGCGCCCAGCACAGCACTGGACATGTGGTAGATGTTCAATAACTGTTTATTGACTGAATCAAAGAGTTAATCAAATTTTGAGAAGTTCTTCAGGGTGGCTTCCCAGAGGAGATATATATATACATAATTTAATACTGTAATAGTTTACTTCTACATCATTTTGTGCCTTTTTCCATCTCAGTGGGCTTCGCATCACCAAAGCCAGAGGATATTTTTAAGGGCTCTTTAGAAATAAACTCCACTCCTTGTGGTACACCTAAGCACAAGGGATGGTAATTAAAATGTTTCTGGTAGAACTAGGCAAATGGCTGTCCATCCTTCCATAGGTTTACATTTCCTAGAGGACCAAGTAGGGGAAGGAGGAAACAAAAATGTCACTTGTTGTGTTTAACATAATTACAGGCTGGAGTTAAAGAAAATAATTAAAAAATTTTGAGTAAGCACCACATCTATTACTTATGAGGTATATGGTGCAAAAAAAAAACAATTTTGAAAAATTATTTGTCCACTCTGTTGTGTGCCTGGTCTTGGTATGTCAGTAGCTAACTTTCTCTTCCTGCTGTATTTAAGGCAGGGCTGCATTGGGATAGAGGGAGGGAGAGAGTGACTATGAATGTGTATGTTGGAGGAGAGTTCATTGCTGATGTTCCTAAGCAATCCTCAGTGTTAAGACACACATCTAGCCTTCACAGCAATGAGAAGAAAGAAATAAATGAGATAACTTCACAGCATTGAGAAGGAAGAAATAGTTTAATTACTTAAAAAGCCATGAGAAATACCCTTTTCTAAATTTGAACTAAGCTTTTCTACATACATGACATCTGATCTTATGAATAATACTATTTATTTCTTTTTTTGAAGGACATTCTGGGAACATTTTTTAAAAGTGCTTGATTGACTACATTAGTAAAGTAATACTGTATTGCCTACTAAAAAAGCTGGAATAACTGCAAAATTCTTAAAGTTTTAAGGATGTTTGGTGTTTTGATGGGCAAAGAGTTTATAAGATAGTGCCCCTGAAACAAATTTGATTTGTTCCAGTTTGCTAACAATGGTATTCCTCTTTAGTGCCCAATGAAAATATTTAGATGTTAAAATGGGCATTTTTTAAAGTTAGAATTATGTTATAAAAATAGGAATGTAAAGTGAGATCCCTGAATTCTGCTAAAGGGTCCAGATCATTTCTGATTAAAGAGTTAACATGCCTTGGGAAGTAAAATTTGTAAAGGCTAGCACTTACCGCAGAGAACTGCAATATCAGGACCTTGACTCATAAATATTTGTAAATCTTTAATGAATAGAATCTTCCTAGAAAAGCAGTGTGTAAGTCAGAATTTAGTAAACTGAATCATACTTTCACATTGATCATGATTCATTTTTACAAGACAAATAATCTCTCTGAAATTTATATTTGTGGTAAACTCAGATTTTCATGGGCCACAATATCTTTAAGATGTCTTGTGCTTTGTGAGATCTGGTTTATTCTTTTTGAGGTTGTTAAGGTACAGAAAGTTAGACTTTTTTTTTAAGAGCAAGTTATTCGCCAGTATAAACAATTTCATAAAAATAGATTTCTATGGTTCTTCCATTTGTAATTGATAGATTGTTCGTGGTGAAATAGTTGGCCTTGACTCTTTTTCTCCTTCAGAATGTGGAATGTTTTATAAACACATTAAGAGTTACAAATATAACAGGGGAGAAAGAAAGAATTTGTACTGTCAGTGATGTAATATACATTGGTGTGTACATGAAATTTCAGTTCAAACACTCTACTGCAACTAAACCATGTTAGAATTATTTCTAAGATAAATATTGACTATAGGCAATCCATAGTCTATTTTGTTGAAACCTTCTTTAGGCTCTACCATGAATTAGAGGTCTACTTTGGTTTTGTTATCTTGTCTTTCTGCTGAGTTCTAGCTATTTAACTGAAGTTTTAGAACAAGTTACAGTTCCCAGTGATGGGTTGTAAGATTTTCACTACCTACTATCCAATTGAAAAGCCATGACTGACTTGACTAACTTGACACATTTTAGAGTTAATAGCACACTACAAATGACTGGATAATGGGAAATCCAGTCTTCCTGCCTACAATATTAGATCTTATACTGCTTTAGAATATTTGGAGGAAGAGTAGGGGTGAGGTGGGTGGGGATCAGTCTTTGTTAATAAAATGTTTGTGCAGGGAGAAATACAGCTATGAAGCAGAATAAGTGCTTTAAGAAAAAAGCAGTGGGAAAAGTAATTCCCACTTTTCTATTTTCTCTTGTTACCTCTCTGACCGTGGAGCTCTTCTTCAATTAATAAAAATGCAAAAAAGCACAGAAATAACATATCCTTCCATCCTTCTCTCACTACTGTTCCTGGTCCAAAAGGAGCTAATGTCAGGTTTCTTGCACATCTTTTTGTTATGAAGGTATTTATCTTCAGTACCTTCCTTTAAGTTATGATATTGAACAGGTTAAAAGACAATAGTTACAGATCTCTTTCTTTAAGAAACAAATGCTCATTTTTTTTTTTTTATTATCGTGTCCCTTCCCCCATGCCTCAGAAAGAGCTTTGTTTTAATTATTATAGTGAACTTGTCTTCAGGAGATCTTGATAGGTTAGAGTACATAGTCTACATTGAATCTACATAGAATGCATAGAGACATTAAAATTATCTGACAATGGAAATCTGACCTAGATTGATACCACTGAACAAAGTTTGGTGGGGTGTGGGGGGTGTTGTTTATATCAATGTCCAGCTAGATATCAAAAGGCCCTTTGTTCTGTTGGTGGCTAAAACATAAAGGAATGAAAATGGAATAATGTTTCTTAACATTGAACTGGTAGTCCTGGATAAGCAGGAACTTTTAACATAGACAAGAACCTAAAGTGTTACTGTTAGTGATCTTCCAAATTTGGATCATTTCTTTACATTTACTCTTTATTAAAAATACATCAAACTTACAAGTATGCACAATAACTATTTTGAATATCACTTACCTTACACTAGCTTTATTAAAACTTACATTTTTGGTATTCTCTCTTCTCTTCTCTCCTTCCTAAGCAGCAAGAGCCTCTGTGCAGTGAAATAAGGGCTCTGTCTTTTAAGAGTAAATTCAGTTTTGGAACCAGTGTGGGACTGTTATAAAAATTTGGAATGTGGCAGTGATATCAGACTGCAGAAGGATGGTGGACTCTGAAAATTGCTATCAAGATGCACATTGGCTAGACAGTTTGAGGAAATGTTTAGAAGTAGTAATTTTCAAACTTTAACCCACAATAACAATTATATTTTGCATTATAATGTTCACATACACACACAGATAGAGACACACACACAGACATATAACCACACCTTGAAATAAAAATTTTAATGAAAACAATGCTTAGTCTTTCTTTGTTAGCCATATTGTAATATTATCTATCCTGTTTTTCTTTGTTCTAATAAATTGACTTCACATATCATTAATAGTTAGGTCCACAGATAAATAAAAAGAACATCTCCTTTGGATGAGAGGGCAGCGAAGTAAACTGATTTTTCAGGCAGAACAGTAATATTAATTTTATGCAGTCTATATACTTTTTATATATCCTACATATTTGGGACTACATGTAATTTCTAGAAAGCAGTTCTCAACATTTTTGTTCTTAGAACCCTTTTCTACTTTATTTCTTTGTTCTTAAAAATTTATTTTTGTTTATGCATACAAGAGCTGGTGAGTAGGCTAGTGGTGTTGGAGGTGGGGGTGAGAGGATTCACCAGAGAGAGAATGGGGAGCAGAGCAGTGGATTGACTAAAATACACTACTGACGGAAACAGTGGGCAAGACAGGAGAGGTCTTCTGTGCCATGTGGGTCAGCTACCTGTCTGGGTGGTACTTGTACTGCAGTGGCTATTTTTAGCTTCATAGTGCTGAGACATAACCCCTTGTGCCACCAGAGACAATCCTGTTTCCACTTTAAAGAGCTGTTGAGAATTCCAAAAATCTCATGTGGCTTCTATCAATTTTAATATCTTAGGATTTAGAACTGAGAAACTTAAAAAATATTTAAAGACAATAATAAAATTATTATATGTAAACAAACATTTTTAAGAGCTATATGTATATTTTAAAGTAGTGAGAAAAGTATTATTTTATATCTTTGCAAGTCTCTTTAATAGGTGATACTTGAGAGCCTCCATGGTGGCACAAGGGGTTAAAGTCTTAACACTCTCAAGCTATTGGCAGCCACTGCAGCATGAGTTCGATCTCTACCCTCTCCTATTTCGCTTGCTGCTCTCCTCAGCTGTGAATTTCAGTAAATCCTCCTGTTCTGCTCCCCATTCTGTTTCTGGTGAATCCTTTAAATCTTTAGTTACGAAGACTTAGGGGCTGAGGGAAAGGGAAAAGTAAAAACAGATGGAGTGTTTTTTAGTCTTAAGGATTTGAAAACTATTTCTCTCACATTCAATTTTAACCTTTTTTGAAAATGATCCTTGTTAAGTGATTTCAAGTCTTGTCTTGTGTTTCAGAACTGCCCAGCCCATTCCAAGGCGTTGGAAAAGGTCATCACACTTCCCAAATTGAATCGTGCACAGTCATTTCTGGAATAAAAGGAAGATTTATAACATCCCTGGAGAGTTTGTACTCGCCACTTACTTCCCTCAGACCCTGAAGCAGTGAAACCTCACTCTGTCCAGTTCCTGTTTGCCCAGGACCCCCACAGTACACCACCTATGCATTCCAGCACCCCCATCAGCTCCCTGTTCTCCTTCACCAGCCCAGCAGTGAAGAGACTGCTAGGCTGGAAGCAAGGAGATGAAGAAGAAAAGTGGGCTGAGAAGGCAGTGGATTCTTTAGTGAAGAAATTAAAGAAGAAGAAAGGCGCCATGGATGAGTTGGAGAGGGCCCTCAGCTGCCCGGGGCAGCCCAGCAAATGTGTCACAATTCCCCGCTCACTGGATGGGCGGCTTCAGGTGTCCCACCGCAAAGGTCTGCCGCATGTTATATATTGCCGAGTGTGGCGTTGGCCAGATCTGCAGTCTCACCATGAGCTGAAGCCACTGGAGTGCTGTGAGTTCCCGTTTGGGTCCAAGCAGAAAGAGGTGTGCATCAACCCCTATCATTACCGCCGGGTGGAGACTCCAGGTAAGCCTTCTGCATGCTGTTGCCATTTGAAAAATGAAGTTTTGCCATCATGTAGTAAAACTGTTGTCAAGTGTCCCAGTTGAATGAGGATGATGGGGGCAAGGCCAGGCTCCATCTTACCAATGGGAGAAAGAAGAAAGGGAGGTTCTATTTTGAGAAACGGATTCCAAATTTGTGTAGTCAGAACAATCTAGAAGATAATTTCATTTCGGTATACATGTGAGCTTTGTGTGATTTTGAAAATACAGTTTTCTTTTGATGTATTTTAGAATCATCATCATTGTTTTCTAATTCTTATGGCCATTGAAGGTCTTAATATTCTTTGATATGATTAGCTGCTAAAAACAAAACAACCCTCTCCTCTCCTCTTCAGTTCAACTGAACTCAACTCTTCTGAACTCAACAAAAGGTTTTTGGCTGCCAATTTTCCCATACTCAGGTAGGTTGAGTATCTCATATCTGAGTCTAAACATAGTCAGTGAAGGAGTTGCTAGAAATCCTTTGGACCAGAAATCCTAGTCCAAAAACCATGGGAGTTGGGGTAGTTGTTCTCAAATTTGGTTTAAATATAGGAATGCATTGTTCTAAAATGCTTCATACACCTGGGGCTGTGTGTACACATATTTCACTCCATTTTTGGAGAAATCTGGTATACATTTCCTTCCTTTCTACGGATGCTAACAGACTTGGACTGTACTTCTTTTTGGATTGAGTGTATCTATGACTAGTTTTTCTGAGAACTTCTCCCTGATTGGCCAGCTGCCTCATTCCAGGAGACCAAAGGGCTGGCACAAGAGTTTGGGGGTGGGGGGGGAATGCCCCTGTTGTTTAGGAAAGGGCTCCATCTAGGTAGACTGAACATTGGCCTTGGGGCCCAGTTCACCACAGCAGTACCAATAATTAAGGGACCGGTACCCAACTCACAGAAATCTTAGCTCCCAGTTCTTAGCCACCATGTCACAAAACTGTTGTCAAGTAAGTTATCTGCCTGGATGTGGATGATGCTTTTCTCCCCTTCATTCAGAAGTTGCCTCCCAGTCTGGGAGTCTGATGAGAAAACGCATGTCTGCACTGTGGTCCCCAGAAAATATACATCTTTGCTTTCTTCCTTCTTTCCTGCTTCTTTCTGGTCTCTCTTTGCAAACTTACAATAAAAATCTCTAGTGTCTGAGCTTATGACAGAAACTTTTCTTTCAGAGATTTGAGCTACACTAAGTATTCAAAATAAATTAAATGAAAAAGTGTTCATTATGAAATCCTTCCTCTCTATACGTGGATGAAACTTGAACAATGTGTGTGAAAAAGGGAGAGAAAGAACTCCTTGCTTTCTACCTAATTGAGTAGTGAAATATATTTCATAAGAAATATCTTGTAAAATGTATCTGGTTTTCCTTTTAAATACTGGAGGACCTAATTTTAAAGGATTATTTGCTATTTTAGTTTTTCAGACTCTGTAAAGCTTGTTTAGAAGTGGTATTTAAATATTTTTACATACAACAGATAGATCTCATCTTATTTTAGATTTATGTTTCAAAAATGGAAGATGGGTAAAAATTGTATTAATTTTAAAGTACTTAAACTTCATGGTATTTTTAAAATTCCTAATTGATTTTTTTAATAGAAAAAGCAGATTTTATTTTTTATTTAGTGGCCATGTTTAAAGTACATTTTGAGAACTATGAAAATGCTAATACTAAGCAATTTTGTTTTGTCCCTAATTGTTACAAAGTTTCAGTTTTGCCTTCAAAATCTCTTAGTTTTGACCTTCCATTTTAGGGACATGAAAGATATGTTCTGATTTCTTATCACTTACACAACTACTTCAATAATCTGTATCACTTCTTTTCAAACTATCTGTAGTAAAGGACAGGTTTTTATTCTTTAAGTTTCTAATCTATCAAAAATTGGTATTTCTACACAATACAAATGGATTACTAAGCCAATGAAATTTTAAAAAGATTACAAAAAACAAGCCCATTTTTTAAATTATGTATTTTTACAGATATAAAATTACCCTGACAAGTTGTTATGAAGGTTTCTAAACATTAGCTCTCATTTTTCATAATTGTATTTTCATGGTATACTACCCAATAGATGTAAAGTTTCACCAGCTCTCACACGAGGTACAGACCTCTTAGAAGCTATATGAAAATGTTGTCAGGATACACCATGATTTTACTCCATGCAGTTAACCAGAGGTTATTTCAAAAGTGTAATTCTTTCTGTACATTGTATTTGTATGGAGCAGCTGAGATTGAAGAAGTAGAATTTAGTAATTAAGAATAGCCATTGCTATAGAGTAAATAATTATCTCCCCCTCCATCAAATTTTGATATTGAAATCTTATGCCCAAAATGATGATATCAGGAATTGGAGACTTTAGGAGGTGATTAGTTTCTTAGGACAATTCTCATGAATGAGATTAGTGAATCTAGCCATGCTTCAGGGTGATCTCAGTCTTCCCAGCCTCCAAAACTGTGAGAAATAAATTTCTATTGTTTATAAGCCACCCTGACTATGGTATTCTGTTATAGCTGTTCAAATGAAGTAAGAAAGCTATGTTTTGAGTAGAAGTACTTAAACATAGGATTGGTACAAATCTAAGGTAACTGAACTAGTCAGGCCAAATAACAACCAGGATGAAACCATCAGTTTTCTTTGCAAAAATATTCACTACCTTTGGTTTGACCCACATGAGAATAATATATTATCAAGAGATATGCAACAGTAAAGAAAAATATTCTTTCCTTTCTCCGGATGCCTCAGAACTGCAGGCCATGAAGAAATCAAAGTCTCCATAGTTAGAAGCGTTGAGGCATAATGTTTATCAGTGTGAGGTATAAGCTATAGATGTATTGCATCTATAAAACAGAAATTACAGAGATTATTCAAATTCTTCTTCATCCAAAGAAGAAAAATGAGTGTTTGCTTGAACAGTGTTAACATTGTGATGAAGAAGCACCTTTGAAAAGCCTCGTGTCATTTATTATCATGGCCCCTGGCGTTCAGACTATTCATGAGGCAAGCCATTTTTTTATCCCTGCATATTTATGGACCCCACGAAAGGATATGTAATGGATTATCATCCATTCATTTTTGCATAGTTATGTTGAGTGTATGTTCTATAATGTCATAGGGCAATAGGTACAAATATTATCTGAGCAAGAAATTACTTGTTTCTCAGCTGCTCTCTCATGTAGTGGTTTAGTTTAAAGCCTTTTATTTACCTTTTTGAGTTGATTTTATATCTCCAGAAATGAAAATTATTGCTTGTTAAGAAAGAAAGAAATTTAGAAGTTAAATGGTAGATTTTATGATTGAATTTATTGTTACTGTACTGCTGTTGTTGTCTGTTTATTCCAAAAGATACTTTTCATGAAAATTTTTATCAATACTTACATGTAGTAACAAATCAACAGTGTTATTAAAAATAAGAATCACCCCAACCCATCTCTAGAAACAACTGCCTTAAAAAAATCTCTCTGTAATGTTATTTTTATTGAGGTAACATTGGTTGGCAATACTTTATGATTTAGGGGGGGTAGCTTCATACTTCTTCAGATGTGTTACCCCATCACACTCACTAAAAAGTACCCATAATCCTCCACAATTGTCTGTGGACCCTCTTCCTTCCTTCTATTCCCTACCTTCATCCTCCTGCTCTGCCTCAATTATGCAGTCATATTTTGGTTTAGTTTTGCCTGTTCCTTTTTTTATTTATTTCACATGGGTGAAATTATCTGCTACTTGTCTTTCTTACTTAGCATAATTTTCTTTAGTTCTATCCATATTGTCACAAATGGCAAGAGCTCACATCTTTTTATTCTTTCACTGTGTATTTCTTATTTTTTTTATCCACATTTTAATCTACCATATCTTTTTTATCCACTTTTCTGTTGTTACACTTAGGCTATTCCTACAATTTGGCTATTGGTAAATAGTGTTGCAGTGAACATAGGAGTGATGCAGTGAGCTTCAAATTAGTGTTTTTGCATTTGGATAAATAAAGTAGTGGGAGTACTGGTTCCTATAGTATTTTTATTATTTTGAGAAACCACCATACTGTTTTTCCATAAGGGACTGGCCTAATCTTCATTTCCACCAACAGTGTATAGGGTTTCTTTTTCTCTGAACACTTGCCAGCACTTAAAATAACTGCTTTTAATCATTCCTGCTTAGTTCTTTTGCTAGATCCTCCTATTATTACTAAAAATTATGGAAGTGACTCAATAATAATAATGGAAGCTTACATATTGTTTTCAAGTTTATCATCTTTATTTCACTAACACCCTCACATAAAAGGTCGGGATTTAGCTAGCTTATATGTTACCTTCTTTCTTCCTCTTTTTAGTCCTTGATACCTATATTTTGATTTATGATTTATGCTATTTTTAAATTATTCTATTGACTTCTGTTGTGAGCTTTTGGGACAAGAACCATTTTCCCTTAAAAGAACACTGATCCTTTGCCGTTTGGTGTCCAGCTTTGGAAGGCAAAATGGGAAGATGGATATGAGTTCCATACTCTTTTGTGTGTGTGTGTGTGTGTGTGTGTGTGTGTGTGTGTGTGTTCTGGGCTCTGTTAGAATATACATTTTTCTCATAGATATTTAAAGTTCAAGGGAGTATGAGTAGGCTTGGTCCTTTTTTTACTCAGTGGGCTGTGCTCTGTGGCTCGTTTCAGTCTGATGTCACAGATTCTTCTGTAACTCTGGAAAATTTTCTCATGCTATCTCTTTGATCACTTGCAGTGCTGTGCCCTAATCTGCTGCACCACCAGGAAGGGCCTCTTTCTTTCATTTTCTATGCTTTTCTTTCTGGAACTTAGTCTAGAAAGTTACCATTAGTTACACGTTGCAACTCATCCACTTTCATGAAGTATCTTATCCTGCCAGGCATTGTACCACTTAAGGAGTTGACTTGGAGATAGAAATGATTGGACAGTGCCTGCCCTGGAGAAGGGCATCCATTCTTAGATTTTTATATAGAGTCAAGATCAGAAATACACATTTTTTTTTAAATAAGGACCAACCTAAAATAAACACGTTATTTTTAAGTTCTTTTTGTGCTACTTGCCTTTTATTGATTAACTTTGATTGTTATTCACTGGTTATGTTTTACTTAACAACTTAGTTGTTAAATCTTTCTGGTAAGACAAGTAGAATGTTTCTACTTTACCAACACGACTGAGCCCAAAGTTTAGGCTGGTTATTTAAATAATTCAACATGGTCTCTGAAGTGAAACTATTTTGGGATTCACTTAGAGTTTCATAGCGAACAATAAAAACTGATTTTGCCCTTAAAAAAACACTTTATTGGGAAAATGAAAGGAAGATGTGAACAGTTATGTCTCCAGAGGGTAGGCATTAGGACAGCTTTGGTAGTTTCTGTGGTAGGCATGAAGGCAGTCTCTCAGAGTACTGAAATGATTCTCCTCTAAACTTTCTGTTAATTGTGACATTCTGCTTAAGATTCAGGCGGCACAGAGAGAGACCGCTGGTCTGTTCTGCTTTCTAAGCCCATTTTAGGGGGGGGAGAGGACCTTAACCAATGACTTCACAGTAAGCACAAACAAAGGTAGAAGGGCCGGTCTCATAAGAGAAAACTAATATTGTCAAAAACTGCGCAGACACAACCTGCAATATCTACTCTGTTTTGTGCTGATGAGCCAATGTTCGATTCTAACCTGCTGGGTCCTTTCTCATCCTAGTGCTGCCTCCTGTACTGGTGCCAAGACACAGCGAATATAACCCCCAGCTCAGCCTCCTGGCCAAGTTCCGCAGTGCCTCCCTCCACAGTGAGCCGCTCATGCCACATAATGCCACCTACCCGGATGCCTTCCAGCAGCCTCCCTGCTCTGCATTCCCTCCCTCGCCTGGGCCATTCTCGCAGTCCCCATGCCTGGCCAGCTACCCTCACCCCCAGGGGAGTCCTGAGCCAGTCAGTCCCTATCAGCACTCAGGTCAGTAAAGCTGCAGCCTACTGGAGTATGACCCAACACAATTTTTTATTACAGGAGCATCAGAACTATAATTGCCGTAACTAATGTTCATGTAGCACTTCACAGTTTACATGGCAACTTCCTGTGGGTCACTGGACTCTGTCCACGCTCTAAGATGAGCCAGACCAGACCCATTTTGGAGTCGTTTAGCTCTGGGCGACAATATGTCTTTTCTCTGGGTTTTGGTGCTAATCCTTTGGAAATTCTCAGAAACAAAGTGGATTTTGGCAGTTTCCAGGGATTTTTTGGTGAAGGCAGTAGAATTAAGATTGTCAAATACTACTTTAATTCATGCAGGAAGATTTCGCCTGGGGGCAAGCAATATGAGGGATTACTGCTAGGCCTTTCCTTGGCCCCTACAGCAATCAAAGGGACTTGATTGCTTGTGCTTGCAAAGATGTATGCAGGACCTGAGGGCCCGAGTGAGATTCCAGTTCTGGCCAGTGCAGAACTGTCCTTTGTGTAGCCCACACATCATCTTGGAGATAAAGCTGGTCAGTAAATATTTACTGAATTGAAAGCTTATGCAAGGGAGAAAGAATGTGCATACCCTCTGGGTAAGGGAGACTCAAATCTATCTTCATAGTTATAGATGCTAAGTGAGTCTAAGGTGATGAAGAAGGAATTAATAGGCAGAAGATTAGTGTGAAATAAGTAATATCCTGAGCTAACAAGTTCCTAAGGTGTGTATAATGCTTCTGGTGTCTGATATTATGCTCTTCCTGATCCATTTATTCATATATTCACTTATTTAACAACTATCTATTCAACTCTTACTGTATGAAAATATCGCCTTAGAGTGCTGAAAGGAACACTCTTAAAAGATTAATGAAAATTGTCTCTGTCCGCAAAGAATTTAAACATGGGAAGATAAAGAAGTTGTCTCTTTCCTTCCTAGATACTCAGTTCTTCCTTTTGTACCCTCAGACTTCTATTTTATATAGAAGTCTAATTTCACACTGACCACACCAGAGATATAGTTCCTGTGTATCTGTTTCCTTCATTCAGCTCTCAGTGGTATCCTCTTTTGCATTTCTAGCACAGAGACTGAAGCACAGTATTTGTTCATTAGTTGATTATTGAATGAATGAATTACCTCCCAGGCCTCCTACTTGGAACTAGAGCTCAGAGCTGCAGGCGTGGATTTTACTGAGTCAGTAAGCACTGACTCAGTGCTGAAACACCTGCTAAGTTCTGTTGAGGCTAGAGAAGTGGTGATGATTATCACAGTAGTCCTGACTTAACAGCCAGTGACTACTGAGATTGGTCATATGGATAAGAAAAGTGTGATAAAGGGTGAGCAGTCCAGGCATGCTCAAAGACTTGAACTGAAAAAGGGGGGTAGGGGGAAAGTAAGTGAATTTGAGGTCAAATTAATAGGACTTGGTGTTGGGGTGAAGGCAGTGATGCTGGAAGAAAACTTGGGAGTCATTCCTTCAGAGTGAAGGAGGTAGATGGAGTCTTGTAGATGGCTGAAAAGGACACAGCAGAAAGAGAAACCATTTAAGGACAAAGTCTTGGTTAAGGGACAGAAGGAAGTTATGTCACAAAATGGATATTTACATAAAACACATATGTGCCATACAGATTTTCTGTACACACGGTATTCTTGCACTGGTTAAGCTAACAGGCTGCTGTTCTTTTTGCTTTTCCCACCCACAAATGACAGACCTCAACCCCTTTCCTGAAAATGGTTAATTTCTCATGGAGGGAATAGCTTTCTGATTAAAAGAAAATAATCCTTTTATAAAATGATTCACAGCAGATTGCCAGTCAGAATAACCTGTCCATAGATAAATAAGAGTAAAAAGAAGTTTTGAGATTAAATAGTTGAGCCCCTTGAATGCTTAAATTTTATTAAGATATAATTCCTGTACCAAACAGTTCATCCATTAAAGATGTGTAATTCTGTGGTTTTCATATTCTTTTACATAGAATAAATTATGCAATTTTAAAATGTGGTAGAATACATATCATGTGAAAATTGTCACTTGAACCTGTTTGAACATACAAGGGCATTAAGAGCATTGAACATAGAATTCCCACTGATGATGTTGTACAACCATCATGACTATATCTAAAATTTTTCTATCACCCCAAACTGAAACCCTGTTGCTATTCAGCAGTAACTCTCATTTTCCTCTTTCTCCAGCCCCTATAATTTACTTTCTGTCTCTGTGCACTTGCCCACTTTAGGTATACCTCTCATATGAGTGGAACATGCATTTATCTACTTGTCCTTTAGTGTCTGACTAATTTTGCTTAGCATAGGGTTTTCACAGTTCATCCATGTTGTAGCTTGTGTCTATACTTCATTCTTGGTGACTGAACAATATTTCATGTCTATGTATACCACATTAAGTTGTATTGATTGGCCGTTGGATATTTGAGCTGTTTTCACCTTTTGACTATTGTGAATAATGCTGCTTTAAACACTGAGTTGCAAGTATCTGAGTCCTACTTTCAATTTCTTTGAGTAGATACCTAGAAGTGGAACTGCCAGGTCCTGTGGGAATTCTATGTTCAATTCTTTAGCTTTATTATTTTTTTTAAGTTTATTTATTTGTGCATACTAGAGCTGGTGTGCAGGCCAGAGATGGGATGGGGGGAAGTAAGATGATTCACTAGAGACAGAGTGGGGAGCAGAACAAATAGAGCTACTGAAATACACTGCTGAGGAGAGTAGTGGCCACGCCATGTGGGCTATTTCCCTGGCCAGGGATTGAACTTGTGCTGCTGTGGCTGCTGATAGCATCATAGTGCTGTGGCTTAACTCCTTGCACCACCAGGGAGGCCCCACTTCTTGACTTTATGATTCAGTTTTTAACTTGATTTATTCAAGAACATGTGAACGGCCCCATCTTGCTTTTTAACTTTTTACCAGAGTTGTAGTACAAGTGCTCACAAGGAAAAAGCAGTGGATCCATACACTTTTGTTAAAGTAATTGTGCCATTTTCAGCCTCTTATCTATCACCTCAGAACTTCTGAGGGTGGAATTAGAAGTCTGCATTTTTAACAAATTCCACTGGCAATTTTTATGCATATCTAAGTGTGAGAACTACTAGAATGGGAAATTCAGTGCAACACATGCAGACTGACCCAACCTTTTATTCACTGGACTCTAATGTAACAAGACCACTCTGAAAAACACCAGGAATGTATACATAAGGAATCTGTTGTTTTAAAAGGTTATCACTACAGTATTTTTCCTCTGCCTCAGGAGTTTTATCATCTTCTGAATTCATTCCTGCTAAGATATTATCTACTGAGTACACCATTTGACTAGCCATGATCACTGTCCAGTCATAGAATGAATATTTGGGGAAAAGATCTCTTGTAAGTGTGCCTTATACTCATGGTGTACAATCAGTTTTCAGCTTCTCTGATTCTGAGCATCCCTGTGGTCATTATATAACCCATGACAACATAGGAACTGAAAACTGAGCCCACTTCAAAGAAAGTTTGACTTTTCTTTCTTTCAGAGCCAGATAACAGACTATTTTGCTATTGAGAAAAGCTAGAATAGCTCTAGATTTGAAAAGCTTATCATGAAGTCATTTGAACTCAATGATTAACTCATAAGTCAGAGGGAAAACTAATTAACCTGTTAGTGAGGATCTCAGGTCGACCAAGTTCTTTTGTAGAACACTCATCATGTCACTTAGAATAGTCTTGTTAAGTTACTGGTCTTTCTTTAGCAATAACACTTTCTACCAAGCCCAGGAATTTAATGGCAAATAAAGTTGGATCAGCTGTCTTTGTGTAATTTTATCAGTTAACATTCCTTTGTTTTGCTGCTTTCTTTTAGTTGAAACACCACCCCCACCACCTTATCATGCCAGAGAAGTCCCAGGGACCCAGAATGGCCGACCTCTGGATGCCACAGCTGATAGTCATTTAGTGCTGTCAGTGCCTAATGGAGGTAAATTTGCAGATGAACAGCTAAATGTAGCTATTTTCAAGAGTATTTCCTATTTTCTCCAAGAAAAACATGTCAGAAAACAAAACAAAGTGTACTGGCCTGCACACATGTGCTTCAAGTGATAGGTAGCATGGCTTTGCATTTCAGCCCATAAAGTGTGTGCTTTGTTTAACATCCCAGTTAATAGGATAAGTTATTATTTTATTTTATTGTATATCTTCTAATTAAATTTTTAAGTTCTAAGCTAACATTAGAAGTTTGTATTATTGATGTTCAGTGTGGAATTGGGTATTTAAGTAGTTAGTGATTTTGTCCCATTTATGTTTTTTGTTGTAGGGATATATTTCCTTTGGTCTAAAGGGGTACTCTTAGAAATATATATGAATAGGGTTTTTACCCAATTTTATTAGGTCTTATAAAGGCTAGATAAATGTTGCTCAGCTTTAATGTTCAACCATGGGGTGAACTTGTATAAATGCAGATTTTGATTCTCTAGACCCGATTTGGGCTCCAAGAACCTGCATTTCTACTAAGTTCCTAGGCAACGCAGAGGCTGCAGTTCCAGGAGCCCTACTGAGTAGGGAGACTATAAAGGAATTTACTATGTAACATCTCAGAGTGAATTATTTTATTAGTGAAGGTGATTTGTTAAATCAAATAATAACCCACTGATTTGTTTAATAAATTTACATTTTAGTGCGTGCAGGAACACACTTTATATATAAGAATGACTAGGATATTTGAAGATAAGAAAGATAATGTGACCAATGGAAAGGCAGAGAAAGAGACTGGGTGGCAGAGGAAGGAAGAGCTCTGAGCTCCGGTTGGCTACTTAAAAATGAAAATTTTGCAGGTGAAACTATAACGTTCAAGGATTCCCTGATGAAATAAATAGCTTTCTTTAAAATACTTCAAGGCCATGAATAACGTGGGTTTCCTTATATACATGAAGAAGGATGTGAGTTTGATTGGAAGTTTTTTTTTTTTCCCCTAGGTAGCTAAGAGTTCTAATTGATGCTTTTGATTTGGTTTTCATCATATCTAAACTATTATTTTTTATTTCATGAGGTCACCTGCCAGCTTCTTTTAGCTGTTTCCTTTAGGGGTGATGAAAATCACATGGCTCCATTTCCTGGCCCCTCAAAACAAATGAGAGTATTTACAAACATGACTACAGGAACTATACCTTGGTCTCTATGCTGCAGGGACATTAAACAGACCAGTTAACCACAAAAACATCTGTTAAAGTAACAGGATTTTAAACATCGCAAAGCAGCATGCTTGATCTGGCAGACAGCTTTCTAGTCACTAATGTGCATTGAAGTTTCCCGACAGAATCATGAGGTGGGAAGGAAGCCTAGGCCTTACTGTAGTGATGTGCCGCTTTACTTTCTTTCAGACTTCCGTCCAGTGTGCTACGAGGAGCCGCAGCATTGGTGCTCAGTGGCCTACTATGAATTAAACAACCGAGTTGGAGAGACGTTCCAGGCGTCCTCGAGAAGTGTGCTCATAGATGGATTCACAGATCCTTCCAATAACAGAAATAGATTCTGTCTTGGGCTTCTTTCGAATGTGAACAGAAACTCAACAATAGAAAACACCAGGAGACACATAGGAAAAGGTAAAAGCAAACATATATTCCTGCATATGTTCTTCTGAGCTAAAAAGTAGAAATAGAAACAAGTCAAGTGTTGCCCACATAACCTAGGGGGGGTGATCCAGGGTGGGTTAGCTGGAGACCATTTGAGGGTTCAACTGAAAAATGACTCGGGTTTTTGGCATGTTAGTCTCTCTGACTGAGAATATTGGAGTAGCATTTTCCTCTGCTGGAGGACATGACTTTTGGTCCTTTGAAGTAGAATGAAAATACCTATCATATGTCCCAGCAGTGATCTGTCAACATCAATGTTAAATGTTGAAATATAAGGTCCATAATTGATAAAGTACAGACATTTTATGAAGATTTACTGTAAAAAAATACGAATCTGAGAAAATTTTGAACATACAATTTTACTAGTGAAGTCATTAAAGTTGCTGTTGCAGAATACTTAATATCATGAGATATTAAAATATTAGAGATAAAATATTCACATGAGAGTACTAAATGAAAAAAAGCTATAAAACATCCTGTAGGTGAAAAAAAAAAACAGCAAATGATAGCTTTGATTATTTCTGGGATGTGGATTTATGTCTTCTATGTGTTTTGGGGCTTAGTTTTTTACATTTCTGTGTCTTCTCATTTTCTCTGGGCCTTCTTGCAGCAGGTGAGGAAGATGAGATAGGATCACTACAGAAGCTCCATATTACAGCTCAGCCCTCCCAAGCTGAGTGGGTTGGTGGCAGAGGTGGGGTACGCAGTGTAGCTCATCTGGTCTAGATTGGCTTTGTTCATTTTGCCATCTTCAGAGGAATTAATGTCTTAGTTTTATGGGATCAACTTGACTATACCAGTCCAAAGGTAGATTTGTGTGATTGTGCTCCTTTCTCATAAAAGTTGCTGCCATCTGCTGGAGAGCTCCTGTAATTACTACATAGCTGTTGGCAGGCATTCCCTGGAGTTAAGCAGTGACCCACTCTGTCCTCTGAACTAAAGCTCTGGTGTGGATGTGAAATCTGTGCTTTTATAGTCTTACTTTTTTTTTTTAAATCTGCATTCAAAAAATTTTTTTTTAATTTTGGAAAATTTCTTGTATATACAAAAGTAGTCATGAAATGAATCTTCATATTTACCATCTTGAAAGATTCAGATTTGATATCATTCTTTTCTCTTACCCTTCACGATATTTCATATCCTCTCTCTAATACCTTTGAATATGTATCTAGCTATATTCAAAACCACAAAAGAGGACTTGCTTTCTGACTCAAGCCCAACTCAAGAAGTCTTTGGTTCTAGTTAAACACAGTGCAGCGCTCTTGATCTCATTAAGGTGGATATAATTGCACACAAATAAAAAGTTAGGATAAAAAGCACAACTTTAGAAGAAATGCAGTCTAAGGTGTGGGTGGAACTTGCTTGAGGGCCACGCTGCCTTTGGGTCCTTTATCATCTCAGGTGGCACTTTCTGTGGGCACTTGTCCTTATTGTTCTCCCTTCTCTATGGCAATCTTGACTCTTTGAGATTGAAAGCCACTGTTCTGGCTCTCAGATGGAGGCAAAAAAATCATTTGCTATCTGAGCCTTCTTTAAAAGCAGCTGTCTCCAGGCCAAACCTAGACTCCTTCACATTGGGGTTTCTCATCATTGTCCTGTTGACTCAGGTCTTCATGTGCTCATCTCTTTGGCTCTGTGCCCTTTCTTTGCTCCAACTGCTAAAGCGCTACCTGCCCGCCCAAGCAGGCTCTTCTCTACTTTGTTATTGTGCCAAAGGCAGTGTGGTTGTGGGTAAGACTAATACAATTGAAACTCATCCCTTCCATAAAGACCAGGATCAGATAACAAAAATCTTTTCTCTTCTATAAATTTCATCATTTCTGGGAAGGTTACATATTTGAAGGTCATTCTATCTAAACAGGTACTAAACATTTAACAGCTTTTTTCTCTGGTTCTTACCGCTTGTTCTCCATCATCTTTAGAAGCACAGCCTCCCAGAGGCAAGCTTTCCCCTGGGAGGTTGCAGGGTTGCTAGAGGATTTGTCCTTTCCCAAATGTGTCAGTGTAGCCACGAAGTCATGTCCCACTGATCAGGACAACTCTGGGTCTCTTATCATGGCCTGGGTCTTGGATGGTAGGACCCAGTCTGCTTGGGGAGACAGAATAATGAAGGTTAGAAGGAAGTGGGAGAGGAAAGAGGAGGGAAGAAAGTCTGATACAATTGGCGAGAGGGGGCTGAGTCTTGGCCTGTATGTCAAGAGTAGTGCTGTAGCATTGTGACTCTGGATCAGAACCTATGACATGATACTGAAAAAACATTTGCTGACATTGATTAAGGGAAAGGGGTGGGTAGAGGCAGCAATAAAGAGGGTGGAGGGAGTCACATAGAATGCACAGCTGCCTCAGATGCTACTCAGAACCTTAAAGAGATGCTCTGAGCAGGCATCTTTAGAGCTGTTTCCTGACTGTACATGGGTGTTGGGAAGGGGTATGTTTTTAAAATTTTTGTGTTTTCATTTTGATGCGATTCAAAATACAGGCAAGTATATTCTGGTTCCTTCTGTAGACTCCTGTGACAGCATGGTGATTTAGTTACTATCATGTTGGCAGATAGTGCTGGAGAAAAACTGTTCTGGTGTGTAATTAGATTTCCTTAATCAGATTAAAACTTCTTCATTTTATCTAGCCCCAGTCCCTTGCTGTGAATTTAAGTTGCATTTTAGACCCAAACAGTTGGAGAGAAAGAATGAAGGAAAATTTAATTTGGAATGAAAATGCCTGGGCAGCAGTATCCTCAGGATGCTCTTTGCCTTTTAAGTCTTAGAGTGTGAGATATAGAAGTACTCACTATTTTGATTCTGAGTCTTACATCCGACAATATGGCAAGAACTTTGCTATTCACAGTTTAAAAATAGGCGTTATTTCTATGATCTATAATAGTACACGATAAGCTTAAAGTGAAATAGGTCTCTGATATATTTACTAGGAGAAATGGATTTTTAATTGTTGTAGAATAAAATTTAAACTTCATTTATTGTTTCCTCTAAGTGGGTTTAGTGTTTGTAGTTACATAACATAGCCACACTATTATCTGTGTTCAATTTTTATATTTTTCTTTATATGTGTAACTGGAGGGCCATTTGATGTTTTCTGCACCGTGTGCTTATTTTACATAGAAAATTTTGAGATCTTATTTTTGGAGTGAATAGTGTGACATTGAGACAGTGAAGAATAGCACAATGGGAGTTTGCTTATTTGTTCTTGGCAGTGATTATCAACATGGGTTGCAATTCACTTTAATATTTTATATTTGCATAGAAGAAATAGGGTGCAGGCTAGAGGTACAGGGGGTTGGAGGGTGAGAGGATTCTCCAGAGACAGAATGGGGAGCAGAACAGGCAGATCTACTGAAATACACTGCTGGGGGAGCAAAGGGCAATGCAGGAGAGAGGTCTGCTCTGCCATGTGGGTCACCTCCCTGGCCAGGGATCAAACTCAGGTAGTCTTGGTGGACCTTCTCAGTTGTAGGGCTGAATCTTAACCCCTAGGCCAGCAGGGAGGCCCCTGGAGCTCACTTTTAAATAGACTCATGGAAAAAAAACAGTAGAATTAAAATAACATTGGGTTGCACATCTTCTGACTCTCTGGTGGTGTTAAAATTAACCTCAAAGTAACATGTCTCATCTCTTGAGGTAATGAAGGTCAATGAACAGGGAACATTATCATACCTAATATCAGTATGGTGCTGGTGGTTGAAGCTACTCTGCTTTGCCTCCCAGGTGTGCATCTGTACTACGTTGGAGGAGAGGTCTATGCCGAGTGTGTGAGTGACAGCAGCATCTTTGTGCAGAGCCGAAACTGCAATTACCAGCATGGCTTCCACCCAGCTACTGTCTGTAAGATCCCCAGTGGCTGCAGCCTTAAGATTTTCAACAACCAGCTCTTTGCCCAGCTGCTTGCTCAGTCAGTTCATCATGGATTTGAAGTGGTTTATGAGTTAACTAAGATGTGTACTATCCGGATGAGTTTTGTTAAGGTAAGGAGTGTGTGCTCTCAAGTTATAAAATGGAGAATGAAGAAAAAAAAAAAAAGACAAAATCTATTTTCAGTTGATATGGCTGCATACAGGAGGTGAGGGGGAGTGAAGAAACTCTTTGTTTTCAGGAAAAGCACCTGAGTGCTAGAGTAGGAACTCTCTTGTCTAGCAATCATGAGAAAATTCTTTGGCATATCACTTTTGGGGAAAAACAAGTTAAAGTGGTTATCTGATAATTGTAATGCAGAGGTTAAAGGGACAGTCATTTCATCAGATTTAATACTATTGAGATTTACCATTGATTGATTTGCTGATCATTGTCATTCAAGAAATGTTGGCAAATTTATGCAAATCAAGTACTCTGCTTGTCAAAAATCAGACAGGCAAACAGAGCTTATTTATTAAATTGAATATATGTGACACCGTTTACACATTTTCAGATACCCTCCCAAAGAATCAGTATGCTTTGCTCTAGGTTTTTTCAAAATAAAATTCTTTAATCCTTTAAAATTACCATGAAAAATAACTGTTGCTTTTCTATTCTTAAAATTATGTTTTGTTGCAAATTAATTATAATTTCAGTGATTACTTTAAAACCAAGAATGGAGAAAATAGTTTTTAACTAAAAAAATGGGTTCTTGAAACTGTTTCTCTTTCACAATGACAAAGTAGTTTCATTAAATTTAGTGGAAAGCTTCAGAAGCATTTTTACATGGTAAAATAATTAAATACCCGGAAATCTTTTCAAATGTTCTGATGCTTTGGAGCCAGTAGGGGGCATTAAATTGCCAGTAATGAACAGTCATTTGCATGAAGTTATTTTTTTCCAGGTCAGTGTTTTTAAAATTAGGCTGAAATACCAACATCTCAGAGATAATACTTTTCTTGTAAAAGTGAATACTATGTGCAGTGGTAGATATTAACTACATAATCATTTTATAGTGTATACATATGTCAAGTTATTATGTTATACACCTAAAATGAATATGTTTATGCCAATTATATTTCAATAAAACTGGAAAAAAGATTTAGTATGAATAAAAATATAAAACTATTGGTTATTTTAATTGGATATAAAATAACCAATAATTTTATATTGATACAATATTTTGAACACACATGGTTATTAGACCTTTAAACAATAAAAATTAAAGGAAATTGTAGATGACTGAATAGTGGTGGCTCTCCTGGAGAGTGATGGACCAATTCATCTTTAAAGTCTTTTTTGGCTGTGATGTTTACTAAGAATTAGTCCACAAATATTTCTTAAGTACCTAACAAGTGCCAGGCCACATGCCATTCTAGGCATTGGGAGTGATTGTACAGAGAGCCCTGTCCTCCTGAAACCAAGGCTTTATTAAGGAAAGACAGTAAACAACAGCTCTAATAAAGAGGTTGCATGAAAGAGAAAACAGCAGTTAAAGAGTTTTAGAGCACTGAGGAGAGGGAAGGGTTGCAGACTTACAAAGGTGATCAGGATCTGCTGTTTTTGAGGTGACATTCAGCAAAGATATGGAGACAATGGAGTTGGTGCTAAGGGTCTTTGTCAGAAAAGCAACGGAAGGTCAAGAACCTCCCTGGGAATTTGCAGGATCAAGCAATTTGCAGTGTCCCTGGAGAGAGATGAGTGTGGAGAGGTGAGATGGGAACAGTAACACAGAACCAGATCAGGCCCTCCCTAGTGGCACAATAGGTTAAAATGCAGCACTGCGAAGCATCTGCAGCCACTGCAGCGTGAGTTTGATCCCCAGCCAGGGAGTGACCCACTTGGCACAGGAGACCTCTCCAGTCCCATCCGCTGCTCCGCTCAGCAGTGTGCTTGTCAGTCAGCCTGTTCTGCTCCCCATTGTCTCTGGTGAATCATCTTAGCCTCAACCATTTGCCTCTGCCTATACCGCCAGTTCTTGTATGTATAAATTAATTAATCTTTAAAAACAAAACCAAGCATAGAACCAGATCAGAGCAGATTTTGGCTTTTGATCTAAAAAGATGAAGAGCCATTGCAAGGATATGTTTCAGGTCTAACTAGTCACCCAGCCAGGAATTGGTCCCAGGCTGCAAAGGCAGCGCTGAGTCCCGGCCACTAGACCAAGGGCTGGTGTCTCATGAAGCTGCATCAGGAACTTTGCTGACTCTCAGGCAAGGAAGAGATAAAAAGCAAATTTGTTTAGAGAAATCGATACAAGAAAAAGTTCATAAAGAGAAAAGGAATAGAAACAAACAAACAAACAAAAACAGGCCAGGAAGGGGCAAGGAAATTGAAGTGGAGTCATGTCTCAGGGAATATAGGCCTTCTTATCCTAATGATTCTAAAGCCCCATTAATCTCTTTATGATTGGTTAGTTCTCAGTGGTCTCACTCACTCTTTCTAAAAGACTCTGCCCAGATTTATATCTTGCATCTCAGCCCTTATGTTAGAGTTCTTTTACTATTTTTTAAAATTGTTTATTTATGTCTACAAGAACTAGAGTACAGGTCAGAGATGAGGAGCGGAGGGTGAGAGGATTCACCAGAGACAGAGGGGGAGCAGAGCAGGCAGATGGACTGAAATACACTGCTGAGGGCTTTTTCTGTATTGTCCTTGTCCAGGAATGTCCTGTTGTCCCTGGGGGGAAGGTACTTAGGGGCTTAATTAATCCCCTTTGGAATTTGTTGTCCTTCTCTCTGGAGCCTTCCTTATTCCTCCTAGGTTTTTTCCTCATCTTTTCTGACCCTAGAAGCTACCCACTTGCCCTATGACTCAGATGTGAGCAATGGCTTTTCATGATCTGACTTGTTTTCAAGCAATCACTCAGGCTACTATATGGAAAACATATCATGCAGCAAGGTTGGAGATAGGGAGAATTGTTAGGAGGGTATTGCAGTAATCAGGTGAGAGAAGATGATGGCTGCCACTGGGAGATTTGTGAACAGTGGAAGGAGTCAAGACACGTTACAAGATACTGAGTAGAGTTAATGATGTTGCCATCAACAAGGATGGAAAGGATACAGGTGGATTAAGTTTGGACATAAGATTAAGAGTTTAACATGGAGGAGAATCACCAACTTGCAGCATATGCAGGTTGAGCAGCTGAGTGGACAGTTGGATATACAAGCTATGTGTGAGGAGAGATGTCTGGCTGGATATGTAAATTTAGGACTTGTCAGTGAATGGACAGTATTCAGTGCCTTCAGCTGGGATGAAATTAACAGGTTGAGTTTAAACAAAAAGATAAGAGAGAAGGTCTAGAATGGTGCCATGGACATTTCAATAGTTGAAGATGTGGGGGGAATGAAAAAAAAAAAAAAAACAGTGAAGCCAAAAGCCCAAATAGTGATGGAGTAGTAAAGCTAAGGAAGGAGACCTCTCCTGCCCTCCTGTGACTATGCAGGTGTTTCTTTCCACAAACCTTTTCCCTTTGCAAAGCAGAAGCAGCAGCTGCCCTGCCCACTGTGATGATGAAGGCTAAGTCACATACTGCTGAGTAACACCACAACTGATAGCTGAGCATTGATTCTAGTAATATAGAGGTCTGTTCTGTTTTTTTTTAAATCTTGACAAGAACAATTTTGTTGAAGGCTGGGACCAAATGCTGATTAAGAATGGGTTTAAGGTCCCTCCCTAGTGGTGCAGTGGGTAAAAGCACAACACTATGAAGCTATTTGCAGCCACTGCAGCACAAGTTTGATCCCTGGCCAGGATGGTGACCCACATGGTGTAGCAGACCTCTCCTGACCTACCCACTGCTCCCCTCAGCAGTGTACTTGATCGATCTGCTTGTTCTGCTTCCCACTCTGTCTCTGATGAATCCTCTGATTGCCCCCGCACCTCTGACCTGTACCCTAGTCCTGTATGTATAAATAGATCTTTAAAGAAAATAAAAATGGATTTAAGGAGGTAATGGAAGGAGAAAAATTGAGGCAGTCAGTAAAGACAACTTTTTTGAGTGTTTTTTTGCTAGAAAGAGGATTGAAGATACTAGTGATTGGGAGGTGGTAGGGCAGAGAAGTATTTTGAGGATGGAATATATTGCAATATGTTTGTATGTTGAGGAAAGAGCCTGTAGAAAGCAGATTGTCAGAGAGAATGGGGATATTTGCTGCAGTGATGTCCTTGGAAAGTGAGCAAGTCTTATGTATAAATGTATAGAGCTTATTTAGAAACACAGATAATTAATTTATGGTAAAAGGCAGAAAGGCCGAGTATTGGATGCAGGTGATATGGAAATTCTCTTTTGATCGCTCAAGTTCTCTGATTTAAATATAAAAGTTCATCAGTTTCAAGGAGGCTGAGGAGTAGATTTTGGATGTTTTAGGGAAGAAGGGAAGAAGAGCAGGGGCATTTGGGGCATTTGAGAGGCACAGGGAGAAAAGGAATTGGGGGTATACTGTGAGTGCTAGGAACCATCAGAGATCCACTTCAGATGGATGGTTACAAGAGTGAAGTATGATCAAGCTGCATGATTATATTGAAATATAATTTCAATAGACTGTGATTTTAAAATACACTTTCATTGATGTATCTACAACATATAGAGATAAATATACAATTTGTTCATTCATTCTCTCCCATAAAAGGTAATGAAAAAGAAAGTAGCCAAAACTGAGCCAGACAGAGAAAAGAGAAACAAGCTTTGTTAATCAACTGCTGATTTCAAGAGAACCTTCCAGTTCTCATTTTAAGCTATAACCACTAGTCTGAAATAAGTGACCAGGTTTTATGCAGAACATTATCTTCAACTTTTAAGGGAGTGGACATAAGGTCAAATTTCTTTCCTTGTTGAGAGGAAAATGATTTGCGAGCATTTCTGACCAGATCAGGCCTAGGCTGTCTCTAGGTCCAAGTGTTTCCTCGTGAGCAGAGGGGAGCATGGACACAGACTCATCCCAAGGTGTCTGGTCAATGCAGAGTTGTCCTGTACCATCAAGAGTTCACATTCTCTCTCTCTCTCAGGTCACAGGGGCTGCTCTAGTGCTTAGGCTCTGTCCAGTGAGCTTGTTTGTGTCTTGGGGCTGACTATAAAGTCTGACAATCACTCTTGTCTACCTTCTTGCTTCCCAGGGCTGGGGAGCCGAGTATCATCGCCAGGATGTCACGAGCACTCCCTGCTGGATTGAGATCCATCTGCATGGGCCCCTGCAATGGTTGGACAAAGTTCTGACTCAGATGGGCTCTCCACATAACCCTATTTCTTCAGTGTCTTAACAGTCTTGTTTTAACCTAAATTTCTATAGAGTAGATGCCGTTGCAGGCAGTGGCTTATATGATTTTGGATTTGCAGCTAATTGAATATGGATAATATATAGAATTCCTAATTTTGATCATTTGTTTTGTGCTTCCTAGTTAACCTGAGACCAGTATAATGCTGTTAGAAAAGCAGAATTTTGCTGCCTGAGCTGTAAGAAGCAACCTCTTTAGTAGAGGAAGCTAAATGTAAGGCTAAAATTGTGTTAATAGTGTTTGAAGCGTGTCAGCAGATTAGAAGGCAGCCGTGAAATGGCAAGTATATGGCCCATCCTTAAAAATATTAAAGCTGTTTATATACAAAAGTCAGGTACTGGCAGCACTAAAGCAAATACTGATAAAACAAAGCAATCAAACCCATAGAATTTAAATGATCTTACTTATAATGCCATTGGCAAGAAAAAAAGCAAGCTAGTACAATCAATTATATAAGATAAGCCACATAAACTTTATTTCTGAAGTTAAAATACCTATAGCTGAACTATTTTGCTGATATATTAATGGTACATTTTAAACAAACTGTGATTGGAAAAGAAAGAAACTGTGAAATTGAGAGTCGGTTGCGTCGGTAACTGCCACTGTAAAAAATAATAAGTCTACTATAGGAACAGATGTAAAAGTAACATGAAATTAGTTGTATCCCCATTGCAAAATAAGATCAGAATTTTCCCAAGAATCACCTATGGAGGTTCCTGCTTCCCACCTAGGAAATCAGTAACTGCTTACTGTCCCGATAACTTCTGTGTCTACAGTGTGAGCTATAAGGCCATGTGTGATGGTCATAGAGATGAAGAGGGTAAAATAAGAGAATTAGACAAAAGCATCACATGGTTACTTATATCTTCTCACATTCCCACATTAAAAGTCTCTAGGTGATGACGTTCTGTTGACAAATGTTAATGATTTACACATTATTATAACAATGGTGAAGTCTTTGAGAAAAATTTAGATACACTGATGGTTTCAAATAACTTCCCATATAAAGTGATAATAATTTCTTAATCCCTGTAACATCTAGGGAACAGTGGAACCAGGTAATAGGTTTTATTTTAAACCTGGGTTTTTTTTTTTTTTTTAACATCTAGATGATAAAAAGAGGAATATTCCCTAAATTTCTAGGTACTTTCATATATATATATGTGTTTGTGTATGTGTGTGTGTGTATGCATATATATCTGTAAATATACACACACACACATATACATATATATATGTATATAATTCCAACCTTCTAAACACCGCGCTGCTTGGAAAAACAGTTCTCGTCCTCTCTTAATAAATGTCTCATTTAAGAAGGTAATTATGCTTATAAGAGATGGTACTTCACTAAACCAAGAGGTTTCTTCATTTCTTCAACTTTTTCTAGCATTAGTGCACACAGTAGTTGTTTCTCATGAAATTGTATTCAAGGTAGAAATGTTGATATGACAAAGTGATCTGCGTGAGGACTGCTGTCAGCTCTCATAATGACTGGTGTTCTCTAATAGAAACTTCATCTATACACTAGAAAATAAATCTTGCATTTTACATGAAAACTAGGTGGCCCACTTAGTATTTAGAAACCTCATAGTCTATTGGTTCATCAACTATGTATTATGCATCTCTGTAAGCCAGGTACAATGTTAGGTACTGTGGAATTGAATATAAGCAGAAAGTCTAATAGTAAATATGTTTGCATACACATCTTTGTGTTTCAGAACTTTTAAAACATGCAATCTTCCTTTTGTGGGGAAAAAAAAGCATTTGATTCCTCAGTTATCTGTACTTTGAAATTTACTTCATTTCTCTTCTGAGCCATCAAGTAATGGATGAAAATGTTCTAAGATAAGTGCTACTTTTCTTCCTTATCTCCAAGTTGCGTTATTTTCCCCCTTGCTTCCCTATTTTCCAAGAATTCCTGGTCTCCTCTTTTTCTTGAGAAAGGCATTACAATGCTGAGTCTTTCTTATACAAGTACCAGCCACAGAGAGTAGCAAGTACATGTGATTTTGGCTCCAGGGAGCAAATATAGTCTTTTTGATCTCACCACAAGTGTTCAAACATCCTCTAATAATTTAATTAATAGTAACTGGTTGCATATAAAGGGTACTTAAATATTCAGACTTTCATGTGGCTTTGGGAGACCAGAACAAAATATTCCATTGAACCTGAATTATTTCTTTGCAAATTAAGTGATAAATGTGGTGCATAAGCATCATCGCCAAATCTCTTTATCAGGATATGTTTGAAATTCAGAGAACTTAGAATTGATAAGAAATTAATCCTTTGCTCATTTTAATCAGCCTTTAAAATTTTTTGCTGTAATGAATCATCAAAATGCCATGCAGTATTTAACTTTAGCCTTCTAAATGCACTCACTTAGCATTCATTCCTTGAGATAGACAATCAAAAAAATTAATAATTGATAGCACTCTTATAGGATAGCTAGCAAAATGCACACGCTAAGCCATTTAGTGCAGCAGCAATGCCAAACAAGTTTAAGGTTGCCAGGGGCAAGGGCTGTGCAATAAACAATCACATTTTTTCCTGCTTACAAGATAAGAACATTTATCATATTGCTGAAATCTGGGTTTCTTTCCTGTTAAAAAGAAAGTTGAGATGTGAAAAGTTTTAGTTAGATGCTCTTTTAATATCTGTTAATGCTTTGGAACTATAAAATGTTACTGATCAACACATTAACTGTTGGTTTTTTTACACTCAGTATACATCAGGAAAAGTTGTGCATCAAAGTAGCATTTAACATCATGAAGACCCTTGCATCGTCTTCTAAGGAACTGAATCCCCAATAACAACAAATGTATTTTATAAGTACCACCTGCAGGACTTTAAGCTCCTGCTTAACTGAATGTATCCCAGATACTTGGCATATATGTTCAATAAGTAAAGCAAAATATAATGCATTCCAAATCTTATCTTTCCCTGTTATGATTTAGCAGCTGAAGTGTACAACAAGAAGTTGTTTCTGCCATATATTAAGGATAAGTTGAAATTATTGAAAAACCAAAAAAAAAGAAAGAAATTTTCTATTTAAATTATGCTTTTGATTATAATATACAAGCTTCAAGCATCCTACAAATGCACACTTATGATTACTTATAATAAAGATGATTGTACCTATCTTGTCTTTTGACTCATTTTTTTCCCCTGCAAATCTCATAGGACTCAATGCATATGGGCCTAAGGCGCTCAAACCATCTTATTTTGAAAATGGGATTTTTAAAATATACTATGCAATAAAGAATCAGGTAATGGTTTTGATGAAACATCTTAGGCTAACTTATTAAATACAGGCTACTTACGATAGTTTGTCATAATTTTAGAGAGGATATGCATAACTTTTTTTGGAAAGTAGCAAATATTAAGTGATATAAGGAAGAACAACCCGTTTTATTAATGCAAACATCTGTACATGGCTATATATCACCTACAAGAAAAGTGTTAAGAAAGACCAGTGAGTTAATCTATGAGGAGCTAGATGTTGCTGCTGTGCAGGCAGGTGGGTCAGAGGGAGAGTGAGGGCCAGGGCCTTCAGAGACTCCTGTGCTCTAGACCCTTCAGCCCAGGTGGCCCACAACCAGAGGCACCATCTCAACCTTGAGCCCCAAAGTCCCAGTGACCAGGCAGTAGCAGTAGCTGCACTGGGACTGAATGCTTTAAGACAGGCGAGTGGTCTGACAAGCCCCATCTTCTGAGTTTCCAGCCAGGTTATACTGAGGAAAAAACAAGAACAAAAAGAGTGTGACTCATGCCAGTGTCTAAGAACTGACCTCCAAATCCCATCAACTTGCCTTGGGACCATCTCCTAAGTATTCTGTGTCACTGTAAAAGAGAACATTCTATCATCTATTCAGAAAACTCAAAAAAATTATAGTTATGTCTCCTCACCCCTGGGGGGCAGTCAAGAGGTGGAGAGTCCAGGGTCACTATCAGCCTCCATTTGGAATCAGGAATTAAAAATGAGTGGGTCAAAGACTTTCCTGCTACTTCAATAGAGGCAGCCTCCCCAAAGAGCACTTCAGACCTAGAGACCTTCTGGATTTCCTTTCCAAGTTTTCCCAAGTTACAGGGGCTGTTGGCTAGACATCATTCTGCAGCTGAGCCATAGAGCACAGTTGTTGTTTTGTTAAAGATTTATTTATTTATGCATACAAGAAAGGGGTATAGGCCAAAGATACAGGGGATGAGAGGGTTCACCAGAGACAAGTGGGGAGCAGAACAGACACTCCTACTGGGAGCAAGTGGGCAAGACAGGAGAGGTCTGCTGTTCCATGTGGGTTACCTCCCTGGCTGGGTATGAACTTGCACTGCAGTGGCTGTGGATTGCTTCATAGTGTTGGGCTTTAACCCCTTACCTCACCAGGGAGGTCCCTTAGAGCACAGCTTATGGGAAAGAATACCAACAAGGCACCAGAGGCCTGGGCAATTAGAAAATCAAGCTTTCCAGAGAGCTTCAGATTGTAGTTTAGTTGGATTGACTTTGGGTCTCTTTTCTCCTCTTTAAACTACTTTTACTCTGGCTCTCCCTGGTGGTGCAACAGGTTAAAGTGCAGCCTAGTTAGATGGGCTTCTGCATGAATTTGATCCCCAGGAAGGGAGCTGACCCACATGGCACAGCAGACCTCTCCTGTCTCTCCCGCTGCTCCCCTCAGCAGTGTGCTTCATTGATATGATTATTCTGTGCCCCACTTTGTCTCTGGTGAATCCTTGCACGGCTCCTGCACCTCTGGCCTGTACCCCAGTTCTTTATGCATAAATAAACCTTAAAAAAAAAAAAAGAAAATTTCTATGGAGGTGATTCAAATCTCTACAGCTGAAAATTTCAACTAGGTATCAATCCATTGCAACTGGCATATTCTTCTCTGTGAAGAGGGCTCTCATGTTTCAAGTCTCCCCATCTAGCTCTTGGGTTGGCACAACAGCTTTGCATTATACCTTTTCAGGGACATTAGGATATTTTCTTCCTACCTTCCCTGTAAAGACTCAGTAACCAGTAGTAGACTGTGCTCTGTCTGAATCAGGACAATCTGCGATACATGGATCCATTCTTTCTTTTCTGGCATATTTCTGGAATACCCAAGGTATACAATTTCCTCCTGACACACCCACAATGGTCCACACTGTATATGAGTGGATCACGAGATCTTAAAAATGCTATTTTCAGACTCTCCTTGGTGGTGAAATGGGTTAAAGTTCCACACTATGAAGCTTCCAGAAGCCACTGCAGCACAAGTTTGATCCCCAGCCAGGGAGCTGACCCACATGGTGCAGCAGACCTCTCCTGGCCCGCCAGACCTCTCCTGGCCCACCTTCTGCTCCCTCAGCAGTGTATTTCAGTAGATCTGCCTGTTCTATTCCCCATTTGTCTCCGGTGAATCCTCTCACTTCCCACACCTCTGGCCTGTGCCCCAGTTCTGTAAGCATAAATAAATAAATCTTTAAAAAAAATGCCATTTTCTCCCCAAACAATAGACTTGAGATCTGAACTATCTTTAAACATTTATTAAAAAGACACTTTAATATGTGCTTTGAATAGAACTATTTCAGGAAATAATTTTTAATGAATTTTCTCCTTAAAATATATAAATGATTAGTACTAAATTTGTATAGCTATTTTTTTCTTGCATATCTTATTTTTTCATTCAGATCTGCTTACTAACTTGATCAAGATTTTTATTTTTCTTTTTTTTTTTTTCAGCATTGAAGCAAAGGATTGTTTTGTGGAATTCCAAAATAAGCAAGTGAAACACAAGCTATTCTGGTTCAGATATAGGTAAGGATTCTGAAATTTCCAGTTTATACTATAAGTTCACAGGTGATGGATTTTAAAAGCATAGCAAAGATACTGATTTAAAAAAAAATCATACCGACAAACAGAAGTACCATAATCAAAATTTTGTTCATTTTTTTCTTGATTTAACATTGAATTTCAAACAAATTAAAAAAGATCCATAAAGTTCATTTGTCTCTACATTTCCATGGTTCCTGATCCTTGATCATTGCACTTAATACTTGGTATTTCAAACACAACTAGTATATACCTTTATATCATGGTATAACAAAATACTGTCTTTCAATAGGCACTCATTTTAGAACATCAGTCTAAAATCTTCCACATACTTATTTATCAGGTGGCTCTTATGCATCAGCCACTGTCAGGCAGGAACTGTAGAGACAATACAGTTTCTAGCTTACCGGTTTGTGAGGAAAGATGAACAGAATAAGGAAACCAGTAAAGGTCTGTGTACTATCAGGTGTGATAGGCCAAGGTCTGGCAACTCTATCAGGCCCTGGGTAGACACCAGGGAAGGGTCCCTTTCTTCCCATCATTTCTCAGCAAGTCATGTCAGGCATTCCTAATTGCTCACTCCCATTGAACCTTATTAGTGTACGTTAAACTGTTTTCCCCAGGTTGGATGCCTCCGCTCTGCTGAATCACAATTTGTATCCACCAATGGTCAGTTGCTGATTCCTGCACCACCTCGTGAATTTTTTCCCCTAGTAGACTGGGAGCTCTTTCAGGGCAGGATTGTATCTATTCAGATTCAGCGTTTTCTAGCTATTGTCTAGAAGGACATTTTGGGGTTCACACTGTTTAGTCAGAAGTGGCATTGTTTCCTATTTTTCCCTTTTTTTTTTAAAGATTTATTTATTTATGCACACAGAACTGGTGTACAGGCCAGAGGTGCAGGGGCGGTGAGAGGAGTCACCAGAGGCAGAATGGGGAGAACAGGCTGACTGATGAAGTACACTGCTGAGGGGAGCAGTGGGCGGGTCAGGAGAGGTTGCCACGCCATGTGGATCACCCCTGGTACGGACGGGGATCCAACTCGTGCTGAAGTGGCTTTAGCTTCTTAGTGCTGTGCTTTAACCTGCTGCGCCACCAGAGAGGGCCCCTATTTTTCCTTTTTAAAAACCAGGAAGTATTTAATGTCTCCTCTTCAAAATAAAAATAATTGCAATTGCAAGCCCTGATTCATGTCCAGTGACCAAGCTGCAGCTGGCTTATGATGTAGTGTGGAAATAAATAGTCAATGGCACAGCAGTAGTAGCAAAAAGGTAGCTTTAACAGTTATAACAGTGTGAATTTGGGTCAAGAAGCATGAGAAATTTTGATGTTGCAATGCCAAGATCACAAAGGATATAAAAAGATCTGTTTAGAAAATGTAACTTCTTTTGATCAGCCATGATTCCGTTATGAGTGCCTGATAAAAATGCTAAGCTATAACTTCAGAATTACTCTAAACAATCTGAAAAATGGTGTTAAATGGAGTAATTATAATGAAAAACATATTGCAGACTCAAATATGCAGTAAGTTATTTGGATATAATACAAGTGACAAGCTAAATTCTTATTTCATCATTTGGAAAAAAAAAAATCCTAAGAACTTTGAAAATAGCTCACTGATGCTTAAATACAATTTGATGCTCCAAACATGTCATAAGTGTTTTATCTATGTTGATCCCCTAATAGTTTATACTTTTATATATACCTTCATCTACATTCAACTTTCAAGATGAATATTATACTACTTTAAAATTCATTTTTAACAACTTTTGCTGTTCCTGACACAATTATTTCAAAAGAACTTAAATATAACATTACAAAATGAATGTGAAAAGTGAAGTTTGTCTTAATATACATATTTAAAGGTATATTAAAATAATAACAACATACTGGCCCTCCCTGTTGGTGCAGCGGGTTAAAGCACAGCACTGAGAATCTAAAGCCACTTCCGCATGAGCTCGATGCCCGCCTTCCCCGGAGGTGACCACATGGCGTGGCAGACCTCTCCTGACCCGCCCGCTGCTCCCCTCAGCAGTGTACTTCGTCGATCTGCCTGTTCTGCTCCCCACTCTGTCTCTGGTGAAGCCTCTCACCGCCCCTGAACCTCTGGCCTGTACCCCAGTTCTGTATGCACAAATAAATAAATCTTTAATAATAATAATAATAATATACTTTTTAAACATGTCAGTGAAACTTTTTTTTTCACTTAAAGTCATTTATTTTTTATGTACCATGAAAAAATGTTCAGTTTCATTTTCTTATCCATGCATGCTGATAGATAACTATGAAAGGGGTTTGTAAAC